TGATAGCATTAAAATGATCAACAATGAACAAATAAATTTACATTAAGTTCAAGTTAGGAAACACCGTGAGTTAGCTGAAGGTTAAAAACGATAGCGAAGACCAACATCATTCATTTCACAACCACACTGTGATAGCATTTATTTAACTATTTCACAACCACACCAACTCTTAAAAAGCTAACAATTAAAATAAGCTTATGCAGTCAAACTCTTTGTTTAAAAAAAATGAATACAATTGTTTCACACTACAAACTATTAACGAAAAGTAGCTAAATAAAAGTGACGGCATTAAACCGACAACAAAAACAAATACATTTATACTAAATACCATCATTTATATAGCTGAATGCTAAAAACGTAGCAAAGAACAACATTTAACTATTTCGCAACCATACTGGGATAGCATTAAAGTGGTCAAAAGCAAACAGATCCATTTAAACTAAATGCAAATAATAAAACTAGCGAACAATGTCATTTACATAGATGAACGCTAAAAAAAATGTAGCTACAAATATACAACATTTAACTATTTCACAGCCACACTTTCTCTTAACAAGCTAGCAAGCAAGTTAAACTACAGTCAATCAATCAGTCAGTCATTGTCACAGGAACCTTTTATTTGATTACTGAATCATTTGACCAAAACAATCCATATAAAATGAACCAATTCACTAAAATGAATAAGACTTTCAAAGTCAACATCAACATAGTAATGCTAATTATTAAAAAAAGTAGGTTGTTACTGTAAAAGCTACTCTGAAAACAACAAAGCTACTGTCACGCTAGCTTTACAGTTACTAGCATAGCTTGAAGAACAGTCATAACCTACCTGGTAGTTCAACAGGCTGCGTCTCCTAAATTGAGTTCAAATGAAAAATTGTGGGCCACAATAATATGACCCATATTTTTTTTTATCAGCAGGAACTGAAATGCCTGACAAAACGAGTGTTTGACTAACCTGACGTTAAGGGAGGTGGCATCGCTCTCTGAAACCGCGGGAGGACCAGGGCACAATCAGGTACTTTCCAGGGAAATGGCCAAAAATAGCCTCCATTTCCACTCAAACGAACACTCCACACAACAGGGGCGAGAGCACACACACACACACACACACACACACACAACTGTAATATTATATTATGATAAAAGAAAACTAAATAAGTTTTCCATCTTTAGAATTTTAAATTTTATCCAAAATAAGCAAATAAATATTTGCTTTATATATCTGGTGCATTTTCCGCAGACGTAAAAAAATAAATAAATACATAAATAAAATTAGCTGTACATTTTAATTATGTATATATTTTAATTTGGTCTTTTAGAAGTACACATATAAATGACTTCCACAGCAGTAAGATTTGTTAAAATTAATGCTATTGTCACTTAATTGTGATATTGTGTGATATTGTGATATTATATCATAAAATAAAAAATAAAAAAATAAAATAAAATAAAAATAAATAAAATAAAATAAAAATAAAATAAATTATATAGTGAGATTGACATAGTCCAGGAGTGAAAAAACTGTTCATTTTAAACGCATGTAAGTGGATTTGGTCTTTTATCAGTATACTAGCTAAGACAAGAACGCATTTTGGTTTTAGGAAAACTTTGATGAAAGGTTTTTATCCACTTCAAATGTTGACTAGTGTATATATATATATATATATGACATCTGACTCAATTTCACAAAAGCGGAAAAACTGTTAAAAGTCTTTTAGCAGTACACTAGCATATAGGCTGCTGTAGACGACTTCAAATCTAACACACAAGGACTGAAAACTAAACTAAAACACCCAGTTTAGATTTGATGAGCTCTTGGTTTCATGGTTTGATTTCACAGAGACATGAAAATGTACTGCACAGTAGGAATGACCCATGTGTGCTGTTTTTGTTGGTTTGCGCAGCTTGATTTCACCAGCAAATTGAAAGACCTTGCAGCGAGAGCCAACACTTTCATTTAAACACATGTCCAATTCAAAAGAACATCGGCATCTGACGGGAGACTGCAGGTTTGTGATTAGCGTCCAGGTCGGTGTGATTTACTCGAGACCTGGCCATTCTCTATTCCCAGGTCTGCCAGGTTTCCACACGAGCTCGCTACTTTCCTTTGGTGATTTACGTAGCTACTGCCAGCAGCTGGAAGATTTTTGCCATTCTGGAGTCGAAGTCTCTCTCGACGGAGAGCACATTCAATGGGCCTGAAAATCCATGAGGGAAAGATAAATCCTGAGCGCTGGACTGAACACATCACTCCGGAGTAGGAAAATTAAGCTTTCAGCCAGTGAACGGGGGGGAAAAAAAAACGCCTTAAGAGGGGCAATCAAATGAACACAAGATATGAAGGAAAGAATGTCGCCACTTTAATCATTTTGTTGATGATTAAAGAAAGGAAGTCATATATTAAAGCTTCAGGCCTTGAGTACAGTGTTAAACAGAGCGAAATGAAATGCAGTGAATTCAACAGAGAGTTCAGTGGTGTTAGAAAAAGAAAGGTTGTTATGCAATGTTACACTTCACCTTGCTGTACCATTATGAGTCATGAAACTGTATAAAAAAAAAAAAATAAGAGCAAACCTATCCACTGGAAAGACTACAGTACAAAAACAGAGGCTGAGGGAAAGAAATTGATAGAAGAACTGACAGATATTCAGAAACGAGCACCATGGGACTGTTTTAAGGAGGCCATTTTACCCTTTTAAACGAAGGCTGAGGGAATGACAGAGTAAAAAAATGAGGCTTGAGTTCCTCAGGAGACTCAAATCCTCGCTGATTGAGAGGGAGTACTGGCAACTAACACTAGTGAAATGAAGCGAGACTCTCAAGGGTGACAGCTGCGTCATCATTTCAAGTTGACCCGCAGGACCTACCAAGACACCTGCGCTGCCACGGCGTGATGATACTGAGACAGCATAGAGATTTGTTCTGGCACAGCGATTTCGGTTTCACCAGTTGAGTTTATCCACTCACAAACAGGCGTTTGGGATCCTTCAGTGCTTAGATTTTAGCACGGCGGATAAAGATGTCAAAAGTCCGGTGAAAATGCATGGGGCTTTTTTTAACATGCGGCTCCTTAATCAATAACAATGATTAAAAAAAACGGAATATGCGAAGACATTAAGCCAATCTGCGTGGTAAAGGACAGATGCCACTTTGCTAATCTTATAAGAGGTTTAGTCATTTGGCCTGTTATCAATACTGCCAAAATGAGAATTCCATTTTATATTAATTACAGTCTGGCATTCCTCATTAAATGAAGAGGATTTATTAAGTAACCATAATTATGACCTGGAAGGATTAATAACAAGCTGGGACATTCATATTCTGTACGGAAAATATATCACTCAACGCCCAATTATTAGCTTTTGGTTGAGCTCAAGCACAATTAACAAAATGAAAGAACCATTTGCATAAGTTAATTACATAAAAATGCCAGCCTTTGGTCACATTTATACAAATGTCGATGCCTTGAGAATCCAATACTTGATATAAGTGAGGTGACCAGCCTTTAAGCGAAAGGAGAGGTTAGCTTGAAATGCAAAATATGCAAAAGAAACAAATGTACAAATATAGCTTGCATGCTAACCTTATTGGCATGCAAAACAAGGTTGCTAACTTGCAAATGCTCATTTTTCTTTGTTGATTGCTGATCAGAAAGCGCATGAAATTAGGACACAGTGGACATTACAGCCCTTTTGCAAAATGATTATACAAATCTCCAACATGAATCTCTTTATGAGCTATTAAAGGGACAGTTCACCCAAAAATAACAATTCTGTCATCATTTACAGTGTAAATATTATAGTTAAATATATTTATATTATAAAAATTAGAAATAATACATTTAAACTGAAATACTAAAATGACTAAAAATGTAATAAAATAAATTAAAGGGGTCATATGATGTATGCACCAAGAGCTTGTAACACTCCAAAGAGAAAGGCAAAATTGAAATCGCATCATATGACCCCTTTAAAGCCAAATAGAAATACAAAATAATAATAATAAAAATTTCAAAAACAAAATGTAAAATACCTGTAAGACTTTTTTTCTGTGGGAAATATATAAATAAATGCCGAGACATTTTTGAAAATATCTCTTTTTGTGTTCCACAGAAGAAAGAAAGTCTTATATATGACACCACAAGAGGGTTAGTAAATGATGACAATTTTCATTTTTTGGGTGTACTATCCCTTTAAAGGAAAGGAGACGTGCAAAAACTGGCAGAAATACATAAAATACAAAATACGCAAAAATAACAACAAATGTATGCCAACATTGCATCACATGCTAACATGACTAATTTGCAACTTGCAAATTATAATTTTGCTTTGTTGACCACTGAATGGAAAACATGATCATACATAGAAAATGACAGGCCTTTTTTGAGGAAAAGCTGACTGTACAAAACTCCAATATGAGTCCCATTCTGAAGGCTGTGGAAAAGGTTAGACAACATATAACTGACTAAATAACCTGCTCCGAAACCGAATATGTCACAGAAACCGAAGGGGCAAAGATTCAACCAAACGCTTTGACAAGTAAACCCTGAAGATACTGACAATACGCAGGCTGAAGAGTAAAGTTTCAACGCAGCAAATAAAGTTTTAACAGCCAGATGAGCCAAGAGCCAAAAGTGTCTCACTCAGTACTCCAAGGCACGGTTTCGCAACAAAGACTAAGCACAGTACTAAACAAGGAAACATACTCATGTACTAAGTGTTAGTCATTAGAAATGCACATCTTACCTTTAAGCTGATCTGCAACCACACTTGGTCCAATCCTTTCTGGGACTCGGCCATCTTCTCGCAAGTACCGGTCATCCAAGAACTTGTCCGTGGCCTCCGAAAGGTGAACCTTCCCGGCAACACCCAACTGCTCCATGAGATTGGCTAGGTTGACATCATTGGACCAGACGTCGAATTTAAACCGCTTCATGCCGAGGATCCCGCAAAGCACGGTGCCCGTGTGGACGCCAACGCGCATGTTCACCATCTCCTTTTTTTCTTGACAGAACTGCTCAATGGCCTGGATCATCCCAAGCCCCATCTCTATGCAACAGTAGGCGTGGTCCTCTCGTGGTTCAGGACAACCAGCCACGCAATAGTAACAGTCTCCCAGCGTGCTGATCTTCTCGCAACACGCGAGCTCGCACAGGCGATCGAAGCGTCCAAATAAGTCATTGAGGAGTCCCACCAGGGCATGCGCCGACTTGTTGGCGCTCATCTTGGTGAATCCCACAATGTCCGCGAACAGTATGCTGACCGGCTCCATGCGTTTCATGTTAAACGGCCGAAAGATGATCTGACCCCGAGGAATCGATGTCTTCTTGCGTTTGGTGCTCTTAGGACTGGAGGCGCCTGCAATAGCCGATCCCGTCGAGTAGCGCTTAACCGAATAGTCACTGTCGTCGTCGCCCTGCTTCATGAGCTCATCAGCCACCCTACGAGGCATCACCGAGTGGATCATCCGCTCCTTCAGGGCCTTTTCCACCTCCAAGTCTTTCCCATGCATGATGGCTTGGCCGACCTTGAGGAACGTGCTGCGTGAACGCACTTCGGACATAATAAAAAGGTGGATGCCAATGACGTGGGCGCAGAGATGCAAAATGGCTCTTCCAGGGATCAGCCAGTAGAGTGTTTCCAAATGTTCCTCGGTGGAGTTTCTCCAACCATTGCCTTGAATCAAGTGCATCCAGCCAAGCGTCTCAAAAAGCACTGAGTAGAGCAGGCCGAGCAGGAGCGAAGCATAAAAACGGACGTGGAGGAAACTGTAGAGCAACGAAAGCACCTCCATGCCTAGAGAGAAGGTGCCAACTGGGGACAAACAAGGGGCTACTGGACCTCCACTGTGGGCAACTTCAGACGTCAGGTTTTTATCCTCAGTGCCACTGAAGTTGCCTGTGTTCTCTTCATCCTTCAAAGGAGGAACATTAAAGTCACTAAATCCTGGAGTCTGGATCTGAGGTGCAAGAGTGAGGGCAAATGTCACCACGATGAGCAACAGTGAGGCTTGATTGTAGCAGTGGACGTAGAACCGGGTGAACGTGAAGACAAACAGGACAGAACAAAGGAGTAGGAAGGAGGCCGTGGGCAATAAGAAGGCAGTCCGTTCACATCGATTAGCATTAGCGATGAAGAACAGCCCCCAGAGGAGGCTGGCTGCCACCAAGTACAACAACACACAGCGGAAACGTCTTTGCGTCTGAGGGAAGCAACGCTCGCGGCAGGCTTCCTCCAGAATGTTGGAGTCAAACTTGGGGTTCCAGAAGTGTCCAGCCGACCTCTCAAACAGCTGCGGCATCTTCCTTTGAGTCCGGAGGCCTTTGACCACTGGTTTGCGGATGGCAGTTTCACCTGAGCTACAGCTGGAGGAGATGCTGTACTTGCAATGTTTGGAGCCCCCGATGATGCTGCACATGGCGCTGGCGCCCAGACTCCCACGCTGCTGTTTGTGCGGCTTTGTGCTGCTGATCCGCACAGACACAGCACCATCACCGCTGGAGTCGCAGCTTACTTCGCTGTTGTGAAACAGCAGATGTTGATGTTGAGGAGAAGCCATGATACCATTCAGATCAGAGGCGAGCTGGGAGAAATGCAAAAAAAAATTATGAAAATAAGGTGCTTGGATGGAAAAAGAATCAAGAGGGGAAAACAAATGGAGGTTGCACCAAACAGCTCTGACGACTAGATGACAAAAAATTTACTCATGCATTTAGACAGTTCCAGGATTTTAAGTTTTGGTTATTTCACCTCATGACGTCAATAGCGCATTCTTCTTCTCTTCTGTCCTTCCTGACGCACATGGGTCAGAGAGGTTTATCCAAAGCACATGGAATCTTTTGACTTACTACAAGTGAATCAAAAATGTTCTCTCACTGATGAATCAAAGTTACATAACAATACCACAAAAATGAAGACTCAAGTGAAGGACTGTTTGCTTTGACTCCTTAGGGAACTTCTTAACTCCATTCTGACGCCAAGTGCACCATTTTCTCCATAAATGAGCCATTACATTGGTTTTCAAGAAGCTAATTGTATTTATGAGACCACTTAGAGGACTGTCAGCATTTATGCTTGACGTAAGTTATTGCATTTCTCATATCCAACACAGTTATGCATAATAAAGTCCAAAAAACTCTTGATCAAATAAACATTTAAAAAGTCCAAGAGGGGATGAGTATTTCAGAAAAGTCCAAGAGTGGCCAAACTGAAAAGCATGATGTTTCTCAACATTATTTACTTAAGAAAAATAACTCAACACGGTTTCCTAAAAATAAACCTGCCGCCCTCTTTTGTTCTTCAGATTCAGAATAAGCGTTCATTGGAGACTCCGGGTCCTGTCAGACGGACATAAAGGCGTTACTGTTGTTAAAAACACACAAAAATTCAACCAGTCTTCTCTTTAAAATGGCCTGTCGCGTTAATATTCTCTTGACTGTTGCACCGACCTTTCCTGAGTTCCCACTCCGGATTTTGCAGGCGCTTCTATTCTGAATTAAACGTGCGTAACGGGATAAAAATCATGAAGATTGCGCATATGGATTAAGTTATCATTCAAGATGCATAAATGACTATATGTCCAGTATAATCCCATAGACTTAAAACACTGTGATCTTAATTCAGGTTCGGCTGTTTGAAACCAGTGTGAGCCATGTATATCAATGCATGTTGTAAAAGTGCTTCAAATGAAAAATGAATTCACCTTTATGTTCAGAAGTCATTTAAGTTTCCTTTTCTCGTAGAGAAAACAGAAAGTCTGCACTTCTCTCTCCATAGACACACAGTAGTAAAGTGCCTCTTTGGTTTCTCTTCAGGACTCATTTCCACGGGCAGCTTTTCCTGTGATATCCAAACAAATCTCTTTCTCAGCCGGTTCGTCTATGTTCCCCGTCAGCGCACAGCTTGGCACTCCTGACACATGCCAGTGTCTCGCGCGTATCATAGTTGACTTGTGTGCTTTCGCGCGGCTCGGGTGCGCCGGTGGCCATCAGACATCAGTAAAATCTCCATCTGTATTCGCAATCCGACGCGGTGTCTGTACAGGTCCGGCAGACGCTGGAAATACATTGAGAGGTGGGGATAAACGCGTGCGTGCACGCTCTGGAGAGAGAACAACAGAAGGGTGGCGAGCACGCACGCATTCACATAGAGGTGGGCTCTTCTCAAACCGCAGTGTTCGCGTCCGAGCGCGTCACCGAGGGCTGTCAAAACGGGGTGGTTGGGGGTTCCAATCAATGACGTTCCAATCAAATAATGCAGGGGGAGACACAGCTGTCATATTGAGAGCAATATGAAATCAACCAGACCAATTTAGCGTTGACACCTCTACATATAAACACATTTTCTTTCCTATCTGTCTGGTTCCACAGATAGACAGACAGACAGACAGACAGAGACAGACAGACAGCTAAACAGACAGATAGATAAACAGACAGACAGAGACACAGACAGACAGACAGACAGACAGCTAAACAGACAGACAGACAGACAGAGACAGACAGACAGCTAAATAGACAGACAGACAGAGACAGACAGATAGATAAACAGACAGACAGAGACACAGACAGACAGACAGACAGACAGACAGCTAAACAGACAGACAGACAGACAGAGACAGACAGACAGATAGATAAACAGACAGACAGACAGACAGACAGAGACAGACAGACAGACAGAGGATAGATAGATAGATAGATAGAGCTCTGATAGACACAGACAGACAGACAGACAGACAGACAGACAGACAGAGACAGATAGACAGACAGACAGACAGACAGACAGACAGAGACAGATAGACAGACAGACAGACAGACAGAAAGACAGAAATACAGACAGACAGACCGATAGATAAACAGACAGACAGACAGAGACAGACAGACAGACAGACAGACAGAGACAGATAGATAAACAGACAGACAGACAGTCAGACAGACAGAGACAGATAGATAAACAGAGAGAAACAGACAGACAGACAGAAACAGACAGACAGACAGACAGTCAGACAGACAGAGACAGATAGATAAACAGACAGACAGACAGACAGACAGACAGACAGACAGATAGACAGATAGACAGATAGATAGATAG